TGGCTCTTTTTACTCGAGAGAATTGTCAGCAGCCTTTTCAAATTAGGAAAGAGTATTCATTGGTGTACATAGATATATCATTGCCCTCGGTATTTTAAAATAACTCTGCTGACTGTGACTCAGAATTTATATCTATCTTTTCTTGCTCTAACGGAGGAAAGAACTGCAGTGCTACAAATACAACTGATTCAACATTATTGTATCTACCAAGGGCAAGTAACTCCACTCTATGGGGCAGGACATGCTTTCTAGAACTCAAATTTAGAAGCTGGGGAGGGTCAGAGGGAGGAGGGGAACAAAGAGACAAGCACATAAGTAGCTCTAATCCATGATAATATCTGATAAGAAATATAGTCAAACCTTATAAACACAGCACAGGGAGAGATTAATATCAACTGAGCAGCCTGGGAAGAGCCTCATGGAGAAAGTGACAGCAACACTGATCCCATGTTAACAAGAGAGGAAGGGTAACTCCAGGCTACGAGAACAGTGCAAACAATAACAACAAAAAGATGTGGGGAAACAGAGGGCTTATCTTTTTTACTTCATGAGAGAGAGAGTGAGAAAGTCCACCATTTTCTAATTAGAGTTCCAAAGGGAGAGAAAACAATGAAGGGTGAGGCAAAAATTCAAAGAGTTAATGGCTAAGAAATTTTCCAGGATTGAAAAAAGAAATCAGCTCCTAAAACCAGGGAGCCCAAAAAAAATCTCAAAACAGTTAAATAAGGTCTTAAGAACCCCAGGGAGAAAAGTCATGATCTACAGCAAACGGCAATTAGACTGATGGCTCATTTGGATGCAGAAACACAAACAATATTTTTTTTTTCAAAGTGCTGGAAAAAATTACTATCAGCCTAGATTTATATATCCAATAAAATTATCTTTCAAAGACGAGGACAAAATGAAGATATGTTCAGGTAAACAAAAACTTAGGATGTGCACCACCCAAAGGGCCCACTAAAGATACTAGTGAAGAATGAACTTCAAGAAGAAAGAAAATGTACCAAGAAGAAAGAGCTGTTCACCATTTCTCTTACATTTCAAAGAAAAAACAATTAAGACAAAAGTGAAATCTTAGACAATTGTATATAAAGAGACAATGGAATTAAAAGTATCTTACAATCTTTGTATTACTGACGACAGTAAAGATGCTAATTGATTTAAGACTTTGAAGATAGATAAGCATGTTAAAAATTTCCAGAAAACCACTGAAATACTAGCAATATCAGGTATACCTTCCAAACTAGTAGTTACAGTCACCTATCACGTTCAACTCTATTACTCTTATATTGACAGCACAAATGAAAGAGATTCTAGCTCTCTTTTCAGGCAAGAGATACTAAGCTCATCCAGTATCTGGCATAGTATGTAGCCATCAAATATTTGTTAAATTAATTTGGCTGTTCCAGAATAAGATGAATTCTATTTCACAAATACATCATACTTCTCAACTCTACCTGAAAGGCTGGTTTCATCTTATTATTATTAGTGAGTGGCATGACTACCCCCTTCAGCTATTTTTCTTTTTTAGGAAATAGAACAATGAGTGCTTAGGATAAAATCCCAAATCCTAAGCCCCAATTCTTGCTTCGAAATTGAAAAAAAAAAAAAAAAGATATACTTTTCTCTTACTTTTGCACAAAAACAATTAGTAACCAAAAATTAGGTATTTTATTCTAATCATGGGAAACTGGCAATCAAAGGCTCAGGCACCCAAGCTGTGAGCGATATTTTCTCTGCAGTTGGTAAAACTGTATATTCCACAACATATGGAATTCTACTGAAAGCTTTCACTGGCATTTTGCCTTGTTGAATAGAAGTTAGAAGTTATGCTTAGACATTTAAAAAAATCGACACTGCCTTTTCATTAGACTAACATTTAAAATATGGCTTAAAAATCATGGGAAATATATTATTATGTCTAACACTCATTGAGCTCTTAACTATGTGTCGGACATAGTTCTAAACATTTTTATGATCTCATTATTCCTCACAATAATAAACTATGAGTCTGGCACTATGATTCGCTTTGTTTTACAGAGGAGGACCATAAGAAATGGAGATGAAATAATTTCCTCAATGTTCATACCTTGCAGATGTCAATCAATGGTGGGATTTGAACACAAGGAATTTAGTTCTGGAGCCTTTATTCTTAACCACTATACTCTACTGCCTCCCAAGTCTTGTCATGTTTGTATGCTAATTTACCTTGTACCTATATCTGAAGTTGGACTTCATTACTCAGTAACTCATACTAGATGCATTTTGCCAAAATTGGCTATTGTGTTTATTTGCAAAGGAACAAAACTAATAGAGAATTCCAAATGTATGTTATATTTTTACTTATACTTACATACTCTGCATAATCCTGTGTTGGGCAGGATTATCCCAATCTGCACCCTAGGACTCTAGGAATTTATTCATTCAGGAAACATGAATCGAATGGTTCTACTACAGGCAATGCCCTGTGCTAAGCAATGATTTATAGCTACTCTCCTAATTGGCAGTTAAATTTCACCCAGATTCACCCACAGCATGATATATATATTTTTCCAAATAAGCGTAAAACAGTTTTTGACAGAGAAGCAGCAAACAGTCCTCCCATTTGTTCATTCAACAAATATTCCTCAGGGCTCTACTATGTGCCGAGCACTATGACGGGTGCTAAAAATTCAGGGGCAAACACAGCAGAGCCAGTATTTGTCCCGGGGCTTTGTGGAAAGAAAGATGTCAAGTAATAATCACACAATTAATTACTAACAACTGTGATCAGCACAATATAAAACATTATACAAATCACAGGACAGAGGGACCTCTCTTAGTTTTGGATGCAGAGTCAGAGAGGGTGTCTCTAGAAAAGTGACATTTAATATGCAAATAGAGGATTAGCAGAAATTACCCAAGAAGAAAAGTCTAAGAAATAGTTCAGGCAGAGGAGAACAGCATATGTGCAGGCTCACAAGAAGCTCTGTGCTTTGAAGGAAAGGAAAACCTGGAGTGCTCGGAGGGCCACAAGAAAAGCGTAGCTGAGGCCATTCCTCAAAGGTCTTTTCCTATCAAGGGGGTCCACCACCTGCTCACTCTGCTGCTGACCCACTCACATTTTCTCCATGACTCCAAGGAATAAAAACTCTATTTACAGTAAGTACTAGCACACAACCCTTTAACATGAATAATTTAAAGTCTGCAATAATTTCATTGGTGGAGAAAATATAGATAACATAAATTGTTACAAGATTATAAATTTCATCTGTATTTTAACAACTTGAGGCCAGAGACCATATCTCATATATTCTACTATCAGTCTACAATGTGCATAACTAGAGTCTGGTAACTAGAGAAGAGATATAGGATAATAATTTGAGTTACTTGCCTAGATATTTTCCTATTTAATATTTATTAACCTAGTCATATATCCTTATCTATTACAATTACAGGAATAAAAACATGTTGTACACTTTACAAATAAAAGATGAGCCAATTCTCCAGGGATGGCAGTGGGGACAGAGACAAGGCTGGAAACATACGGAAGCACATAATAGAGGTCCCTCTCTCCTAAATGTCCAATTTCTCTTTCTTCACAGAAAGCTTACTTTTGGGCCTAAGTTAAGTTTATTTTCAAAAGAAGATATGACTTGGATTGTGGCCAGCTGCAACAAATTTCAGCCACTTTCCCCTTAAAACTCATTTAACCGGAAATCTTATCACCAGGAAATTCTCTAAGGACCAAAGGCTCTATGTTTTGCAACTTAACAGTATTTGTAAAACATTTTAGTACTAAGATTCACTACCTGTCATCCTCAGTACACATACACACATCCTACCCTCATACCAATCCAATGACTTCTGACAGAAGGAACAAAGAACTTTTTGGGATCTAAAAGTCCAACTATGTAACCAACATAATGTCATCTACAAATCTCTGTTTCTTTTTATGATTACATGTATACAGCAACATTTGAGGGTAGGAAAAATACCATGCCTTCCAAAGAAGGCAAGGTTAGTGAGCCATCTTCGTCATCACGAAATAGCCTAGAATGACTCGCTGGTAAAGCAAGTACCAAAACGCAACACACCTATAGAAGGAATACCATGAGCAAGGGACTGGAATAAGCACAGTGCCAGAAATATAAAGAAGAATATAGCCCAGTCCTTGCCCTCGAGAAACCAAGTCTTAAAAGGGAGACACCCTAAGGGAGGTGGGATAGATGGGGAAAAAAGAAACACAACCACATCAATCTCCCCCAAACTCACGACCCAGTATACAAAAACAAAATGTACAAAGCTTTTTACCAAGGAATTGGACAGAAGGCAATTAATCCCCAACTTCTAAGTCTAATTATGCAAGTTTCCTTTTATCTATTACTCTATCCCTTTGTATGCACATAATGCACATAGTAAAATGGATTTAATCATCTTAAAGACCCCATATCTTTAATAAGTATGTTGAGATTAGAAGTTCTTTCAGAACCTAGCCCATTGTTTTGAAGTTATTTCATTCCACAGCACTTAACTGAAACACCAGTTAGCTAAGTAGAACACAGCTCCCTGAACAGCACATCACAGAGAAAGGCTCGAGATGTTGTAACAGATTGGGTTTTCTCACTTTTCTTTGCAATTACTGAGTGGGAAAGTGAACTAAAGGGTTTTGAGGTATATGTTTAATAGTGAAAGAGGATAAAAGCCAGTGCATCTGTATATAGTTAAGTTTGTATTTATACCCAAGGAAACACAAGTTGGTCTGGAGAGAAAAGACAAAGAATAAAACACAAATCAAGGTAAAACAGACTGAAAAATACTGAGAAACATTGAGACTGAGACTTAGGATAGATTTTCTAATTTCAACAATGAAAATATAATACTTTTGTAACAGGTACAATTTTGTTCTTTTTGGAAGATGGTATGAAGGCTCAGCGTGACCAAAAGTGATTATTAATAGTGTACTGTTCAATAAAATACTGTACGTCTGGAGGTATCTTTGAGCTCACTGAGTAGACACCATGAACGAAGCTCACCCTCCCAAGTTAAAGTATTTGTGGACAAGAAGTTATCATTGAAATAAATGGTGGCAGACATATCCACGGAATATTATGGAGATTTGATCTCTTTACAAATCCTATGATAGACAAATGTGTGGACACGGCAACTAGTGGGCAACAAAACAATGTTGGAATGGTGGTAATACAAGCAAATAATATCACCTCAGAAGCCCTGGAATGTGTTCACCAGAGAAATCAACTGCTCCCCCATGTCCCCTTCTCCACATCACCTGTTTCACTGCAATGTAAAAAGCAGGTCGTGTACATTTTCATATTAAACTTTTTTGTGAAACGTCTGTAATAGTCAAAAAATAAAATACTATATTATTTTTAGTGCCATATGAAAGATAAAACACTGTAAGTATAATGATAAAAATACAAATGAACAAAAATTCCCTATTTACATATTAATCTCAGCTTCCTTCCCTAATAAACCTTTTTGTAAACTGTTAAGAAGAAATAGATAAGACAGCCTTCCTCTCTAAAACAATCCCCAATGAAACTGAGTAAGTACTAAAATGGCTGATAAAACAGGGAAGCAGCCACCTAGATTCAAAACTTACGTTATGTTATCTGTGTGGCCCAATATACCCAAACACTTAATGCAAGAATTCTACAAATTTAGTGTACAAGGAAAATGAAAGCCTCCAGTGGGAGGTCCCTTCACCAACACATAAACTCTTCTCTGGATGTTTCAGAGTCTTATTATAGATTTGAACTTTACTCCTTAAAGCTAACTCTGAAGTATTTATAATAAATAGCACTGAAGGCTTTAAAAAGCCTTAAATTTGTGTTTTCTTCTTCCAGTCCTGTGTGTGTGTGTGTACAGTTTAAGGGCAGACCTGCCTGAAAGCAACATGAACTGAGAGAATGACCCTTCCTCATCAAGAGTCCTGGGCACAGAGCATTATTCTAGAGAGAAACTTTGCTAATCTCTGACATTTGTTCATTAAGGATACAGGTTCTTCTGAAACAGATCTAACGCTGGTTTACAATGTAAAAATACACCCCACTATTGTGAACATAAGGTTCAATGAAAAGGGTAGGGCCAGGTCAGCCAGAAAGCAGGAAAGCAGCAGATCAACTTCATGACATATTTGCTTCCTGCCATGGGGCTCAAGGAAATAAAGACCTTCTAATGAGGAATTCATGGCTCACAGTGTGATTCTACACTGTAATCAATAGGGCTCCAAATGAATATATCAGCACTTGGTCTGAATTGTTAGATTTTACAAAGATACTCCCAATTTAAAAAGAATGCAAAATTCCAATGCCACTTTCTGATAGGAGGCAGCATATTCGCGTGTTATGAATTTAGTAAGTGGCCTGCATAGTTGAAATGACTCCAAAACAGAGAACCACAACCCAAAATAGCCCAAACACTTTTGTTATCTCAAACAATGGGCATTTAGCCATTCATTCCTTCCTCTTAGTATATATTCTACTTGTTTCAGACAAAGCTCATTATGAATTTCACAAGACTGTTCAAATTCAGCTATACCAGGTGTTTGAAAGCTGGGGACAGGAAATATTTGCTGCACAATAATTCTCTTTTTTTTATCTTTTTTTAAAGATTTTATTTATTTTTAGAAAGGGAAGGGAGGGAGAAAGAGAGAGAAAAAGAGAAACATCAATGTGCGGTTGCTGGGGGCCGTGGCCTGCAACCCAGGCATGTGCCCTGACTGGGAATTGAACCTGTGATGCTTTGGTTCACGTCCTGTGCTCAATCCACTGAGCTACGCCAGCCAGGGCTCACAATAATTCTTATTACAAGATTTTGTACCTAAAAAATGAATGCTATACATATGTTCACTCAGGGAAAAAAAAGTTATATTGCACACCTATAACCAGCCTGACACTAGAAATAAAGGGATGAATACAAGATACAGTCCCTGCCACTGAGGAACCTACAATCTATTGGAGAAGACCAACATTGACTAAGTACGATGAGCATCACAAGGAGTATATACACGCTATGCTGGACTGTAGACTGCGGATGATAATGAGAAATTCCCACCCTACCTCCTTCCTGAGCATACAGTAAAAGACCAGAAAGGTGTCAGAAGGCTTTGAAAATAATGATCCTCTCAGTTGTGAAATATATAAAACATAAGCATTTTATATGTACATAAATGACCAGTAATTTTAAAAGTATGTAAAATGACTACTTTTTTAAACAAATATACAAGAAATATTAAAATCCAAATAAGTCCCAACCCAATAAAAAGTATTTGCCTTAATGTTCCCCTTACTCCTGGACTGTAACAGAAGGAGCCAACTTATACCATGGTTGATACTTAGAACTTTGGCTCTTTTATTTTGTCTGCTTAATGTTTTACCAGTGTTATTTATAAAACAGCTTTAGAAAAGCCCAACTTTCCACTGTGCAGATATATAAATAAATAATTAGGTTGGGGCTCCATTAAAATTATAAACATAGCTGTAGAAACACAAAAATCTCCCAAACTCTTCTATTCTATCAATCACTCGAGTAAATGCTAAGTGTCTTTGGAACACAGTTCACATCTATCCCATTCTTATATCTCTTCTGATCTTGAGAGAAAGTTTCTCAAATGAAACTTCATGATTCCCCAAAGAATACTCAAACCTACCTTAAACACTATTTAAATATAAAATTTTTTAAATCTCCTACAAACCTACTTTAAATACTATTTAGTTCTAGTAGACTTCAAGCTAACCAGCCATAGATGCTGTAAAAAGTCTTTATCTGATTTGCAGACTTAAATACTTGTGTGCTGATCTGTATCTACTTTTGTTTAATTAAAAAGAAAGAAATGCTATGAAACTGAATGTCGCTGAAACAGAACCCTACCTTCACATCATTCTTTTCATATAGGCCGTTCACACAGGCCATGCCAAAACCAGGCTTTATACAGAGAATCTTGCCAGGGCTAAGACACATGGAAACTCTATGACTAACAGCACTCTTGTTGCTTCTGATTCTAGGTGGAAAAGTTCCACTGATATTTAGCAACTTTGTTCCAAGTGGATGCAGAATGGTGATGTGAAAAGAGCACAGGATCCACAGTTAGAGAAGCAGTTTGAGTCCAGGCTCCATCACTAACTGTGCCACTGTGGGCAGGTTACTTAATTTCTCTGACCTAAAGTATCCTCTTCATCTGTAAAATACCTGCCTTAAAGAATTACTGTGAGATTATGTATATATATGAAAGTATTTAATAAACTATAAAGGATTATATAAATGTTATTACTTTATTAATTTGTCTTAAATAGCAATTATATGTTAATTTTAAAAACTGGAAAATACAGGAAAGTATTAAGAAGAAAAAATCACCCCACAGGCTTAACACCCAAATATTGTTACTACTTATTTTAACTGGAATAAGTGTAACATCAACCAAAAGAAATTAAAGCAAAATAACCAAATTGTTGATCTCTTTTTAAGACCTAAACAGACTTTCCCATCAGTTTAAAATAAAGACAATGCTGCTATTTGTCCCTGAGCTGGTTCCAACAGTATGATATATGGGTGAGGCTCATAAAAGTCAAGGCCACAAACACTCCCAAAATAAATATTTCATGAACCCAAAGAGGTAGTCACAACACATGCCCTCAGATACAGTGGAGAAGGCAAAGTGTCTGAAGTCCCATTAATAAAACTGGCATGACTGTATAGTCACAAAGACTGGCAAATTTCTATGGACCACTTATGGGGAAAAAAAAGAAAAATGTATATATCATGCTACAAGACAGGCAGTCTAAGACTTCTGACTTTTCCCCAACTGCTTACTGAATCCCATCCTAGGAACTTCTTGTACCTCTCCTCTGGTTTTTCTTCCCCACCATTCTCCCATACCCCCTCTGTTTTATTATGCATTAGAATCACTCTCAGTGTTTAAAGTGTCCTTATTCCATACAATGGAATATTATATCAGCAACAAAAAGAAATAAAGTTCTGATACATACTACACCATGAACCTTGAAAACATGCTAAGAGAAAGAAGTGAGAAACAAAAGGGTACATATTTTATAATTCCATTTGTATGAAATGTCCAGAATAGGCAAATCCATAGAAACCGAAAGTGACTGGTGGTCATCCAGAGGTGGAGATGGGTGAATGACTGCTAATGGGTATGAGGTTCCTTTTTGAGAGGACAAAAACATCCAAAAATTAGATTGTACTGATGTTGCACAACTCTGAAAATATACTAAAAAACACTAAATTGTACAGTTTCGATGGGTGAATTATATGTGACGTGAATTACATCTCAACAAAGCTGTTTTTAAAGAAGGATCTTGTTCAGGATCCTGAGTTGAAAAAGGAACATGTAAACAAATATTTCCATCCCACCACTTCCCGAGTCTGGAGTAAAAGTAAAAGTAATGACTCAGCTGTGATAAGACATGTATATAAAGTGACCAGACTACTTGGTTTAACAAATGTAGATGAAATTACAAATCCACATGAGGCTTGCCCCCCAAAAGTATTTACCTTAATGATGCCCTAAGTCAAAATGTGGTCCTCAGAGTCACAATAATTCTGTGCCTTTGTTTAGATAGTTCTTTTGACTTGCAACACTTTTGCTACCACATCTTTAAATGTTCAAGTCCCACCTGACTCTAAGGCCAGTTCAGATGTTACATCTTCCATGACGCCTTCCCCATGCTTTCACGAAAAGGAACCTCACATTCCTCTGAATTTCCATAGCCCTTCACTTCCTCAGGACCGCTTTGGAGTTTCAATCTAGTGTAATCCTTATTCTGCCCAGTATCATCAACTTATTGCTTTGACATTAAATACGGGTTTCAATAACACCTATCTGATAAGTGGATATTGACTGCTTAACAATTGAGAATTTCATCTTCTTCTGGTAAATATTAATTTTGGAAATATCCAAAAGTCGTTTAGACTCAAGAATGGTCCATGAAGTAGTAGGGCTAAGGAATGCCTACTGTGGATAAAATTTTCTTGACCAAAATAAAACAAGACTGATATATATAAAATCTGTAAGGAATACCCACACAGAAGTACTGAAATAAGAACCCAAGGTAACTGAAACGTGAATTATATAAACTCTAGAATATTTATTTAAAAATCAGTTTCATTATTTTATAGTGACACCACATTTTTTCCTGAGAGTTCTATTATCAAGTTCTACTAATTCTTCTTCTACTATGTTTCTAATATATATTAGTTCTAAGTCCTTCTCCATTTGACCCACCAAACACGAAGTCCAGGGCCTCATTTTCCTAAAGATCAACCAGTTTTAAAAATCTCCTAATTTATCTCCCTTCCCACAGCTCCTTCTTTCCTTCGAC